ATCAGATCAGTTTAAGCTTTGCTACCAGTTACACTCTACTCGTACTCATACAGCCAGGTGAGGGCTTACGGCGAGCTGTCATCTGAACTGATGACGACCAGTGGTGTCCGTCAAGGATGCCCATTATCTCCTTTTCTATTCAACTTCATCATAGATGTGTTAATGGACTTAACCCTAGGTGACTTCAGCGACTCAGGGATTGACTTGCTACCGGGAAATAATCTCGTTGACTTGGAATAAGCAGACGATATAGTCCTTCTAGGCGAGGACGCTGACAAAATGCAGAGTCTTCTGAACACACTGAGCCGCAATCTACGAATGTTTGGCATGCGATTGATCATAGGTGCCTGCGCTCTATTTCCCGTGTAAAGTGGCATAATAAGGTGAGCAACATGGAAGTTAGGCGTCGAGTTCTAGGTAAACAGGGGCAATCAATCGACGAAGTCGTGAAATTACAAAGACTGAGATGGTTAGGACATGTGTTACGTATGCCAAGCCACCGCCTCCCTCGACGAGCAATGTTAGCGGATATAGGGTCAGACTGGAAAAAAGCTAGCGGCGGTCAAACAAAATCTTGGCATCAGTCAATGAAATCCACAACAGTTGGTCTAAGCCACGTAGGAAGGTGTAGACTTCCAGGCTGGGGTCCTCGGGACGGTAAAAATCTATGGCTGGAAACAATTGGTGACATGGCTCAAAATCGTTCTCAGTGGCGCAGATGCATCCACTCCCTGTGACTTATGATCTCCAATGAAACTGTTTTGTTCTTCGTTATTACTCTTCCTTTGTCTCACACCTTTGCTTACTGTCTCTATTATGCTTTTCTTGTACTTTCTTCTCTTGCTTCGCGTGCTACACGGAGTGTGGCGACTTGAACTTCCGCACATTTGTGCAAAGTTCTATGTCGAAAACAGACAGACATCGAACTACACTGAAATACTTATTGTCATTTAAGTGATTCTTATTTCTAAAAATGAACAGTGTTGTGTAAGATATCAAGGCAAAGGATAGTTATTATTATTCTATGGCTTTAAATTATATATATATGTATATACATATATATATATATATGCGTCGGTGGCACAGTGGGTAGAACTCTAGCCCATCCATGCACATGGTCGATCCCTGCCGACGCACACCTGATATCTATGGTCGGCCTGCAAACGGCATGGCTACCGATATCCATGTTGAAAATTCCATACTTGTTCCGAAAATACGGTGTGGAATCAAGCTGTAATCAAAAACAAAATATAAAAAAATACTTCAGCATTCAAAGATATAACTTTATAGTTATAATATAGGAGACTGCTCAGGAAACATCGTGTGTACAAGAGTTGTGTTTTCCGTAGTTTTTAATTATCACCAATTGCAGTTATTGAAATATGTGGAGAATTGGTGTCAACTATAAACATTCTATGTGCATCAACGATTCCATGCTTTAATGTTAGCTAGTGACACAAGAGATCATGGGTTCAACTGCCAGCCGAGGCACTGCTAAACCTTGCCCAGTAGGTGTTGATGCCTAAAGACAGGGAAGATCGTATATGAGGCTAGCTACCTCACTCGGTACGAGAATCACCCTCTCAATTGAAACATCATGCTGCACGAATGCTTATGTTCCAAAGGAATAAGAAAAATGAACGTTATATTAAATAAGCCAAGTAATAATAATAATCACTTTATTCCACAACAATAACAATTTACAGCATGGAATTTTCAGCGTTTCTTTTACATATTGCAATGGTTTAGCTCTGTTTATAATTATATAAATGTATAAAATGTTAAAATATTGATAGTTAATAGGAAAAAATAAAAAAAAACCCAACAAAATCACACCATTTCTAGGTCATAGTGAATAATAAATAAATAATATAACAAATAACACATGCATTAATATGCATCATTTCATTTTATAGTTTAGTTAATGATTCAAAAGTTGTAAAAGTTCTTTTCTGATATTTGTCTCTTCACACAATACTCGTGCCAAATATGGAACGGTCGAATTTTTATATTTTGTAGTACGAGCATAAATGTTTATAAAATTTCTTCTGGTCTTACCCGAAGAGATACAAGGAAACAATTGTGAATAAAGAGGATGTTCACTATCAGATAAGATAACTTTAGCTAAGTGTTTACAAGAATTCATATGCCTATTGACAACAGTGTCATTTAGTTCAGTCAAAGGGATAGCACTGACCCTACTTACAGCCCTCAATGTTCTTCGTAGTATTATATGGTCTTTCTTGAGTAGCCCAGGGAAGAATAATGGAGAACAATAAAGAATGATGGGCAAAACACATGAATTAATAAATTGTATGATAAGAGATTGAGTTATACCTGAGTGTCTCAACTTCTTTATGTAATAAGTCAGACGGAAAACTTTCTTAGAAACTATAAGAATATGAGACGACCAGCAAAGGTTTGAAGAGAAACTAATGCCAAGATAAGAAACACTTGACTTACTCTCTATCATGGTACCATCAATATTACAACAATCATGAGATTGAATCAATCCATGCATGTCTTTTTCACTTCTCAAGCTGAAATCAACAGTGTTACATTTAGTTGGATTTAGTTTAAGACCATTTGAGCCAGACCAATCCTTAACTTCAGCTAAGAAGCCATTCATATGGGAACAATCCGATGTGGAAACTACAGGGACAGAAACGGTCAGATCATCAGCATACTTAATGAAGTTAACTTTGGGTGAGTTCGGAAGGTCATGCAAAAAGAAAGAGAAAAGAAATGGAGAAAGTACTGCACCTTGAGGCACACCACTTTCAGTTAGCTGAGAAGTGGAGCGCTTTCCAGCCAAAACAGTATGCTGTTTCCTATCCTTAAAATAAGAAGACAGCCATCTAGTTGCCCAGGACTCTGTTTGTGCTGAAATCATCTTTCCTAATAAAAGTGTCCTAGGAACAGAGTCGAAAGCTGCAGTATAGTCTAAAAAAGCTGTTCGAACGAACTTAGCGCCCTTATCAAGGCAGGAAACAATATTGTGGTGTAGTACAATGGCTGCATCTAATGTACTTCTTCCACACTTATAAGCAAACTGCTTAGGGTCACTAAAAGCTTTTAAAGAAGGTTTAAGAATATTCAAAAGAAGTTTCTCCATAGTTTTCAAAAAAGGAGATGTTATAGCGACCGGTCTAAACTTTATACCTGCTCCAGAAGATGATTTCTGTACAGGTACAACCTTGATTTCTTTCCAGTCAGCAGGTACCGTTTCCCTGTTAAATGATGCGTTAAAGATTTGAGTAAGAGGATGACACAAGATGTCTGCACACTTTTGAAGAAGAATGCTTGGTACACCATCTGGACCAAGGCTGTGTGTTGGATTTAATGACTTCAAACATAATAGTACATCCTTTTCTTTAAAACCCTGAAAATGACCATTTTCTTGACTAGGTACATCAGGTACAACCATATTAATTTGTTTCTTGATAAATGATTTGTTTAAAGCATTAACATCAGAATAAGCATCAACGGACATTTGTTTTTTACTTGTAAGTTTATTGAAAAGTTTCCAAATGTTTGAAGGATTTTTACATGATAAAAATTTTTCATTATATAGTCTGTTCAACCTTTCTATTTCAATTTTTATAAGGGTGTTTATTTTACGGACACCAGTATTATCACAATTCTTATACAACTTCTCTTTTTGTCTTCTAAGTTTTTTCAGTTGCACAGAAGAGATTCTGTCAAATCTCGAAAACAGTGTTTCATAAGGACAGCAAATTTCCAAACAAAACTTCAGATAATCGGTTATATTAGAGACAGTAGCATCCAACTTATCGTCAGTAAATAGTTCCCAGTTGGTATCATGCAACATGCTTCTTAATGCTAGAATGTTGTCATGGGAATATGAACGTTCATGTATCTTCTTTGTTAAATGACTAAACAATTTTCGTTGTAACTTGCCGTACACTTTCGGTAAAATACGAATAATGCAGTGGTCAGAATTTAGCAAAGGAGCTCTCCTTCGGGTTTCATATACATCACGGTCATTTATGAAAACCAGGTCTAGTGATTTGTCCAGACGTGTATTAAACTTGACTAGATTCTCATGACCAAGCGAAGTAAGAAAGCTGTGATCACATAAATTAAAATCACCACAGACTATAGACAACGAGTTTCCGAATGCAGGAGCAGCGAATTCAGTAAACTCATCTGCAAACATAACTATATTAGAAAGGCTACAATTGGGTGTTATGTAAATATTTGTTATGTATATATAAGAATATTTACTTAAGTGTTTTGGGCGACACCTGACGGTTATGCAATCTATATTGTCATTAGAATAATTGAAGCAAACGTGATTTGATGTAGACCAACTTGTGTTTAAAATGTGGCTACCCCTCCTCCATATTTTTTCTTGGAACTATTTCTATCTTGGCGAAAAACTTTATATCCATTTATTGAAACTAGATTATCATCATAATGCTGGTGCAGCCAAGTCTCTTGTATTGCTAAAACGCCAGCATTTCGATAAACATTGGAATACATTAGGGATTGAAGATAATCCATTTTGTTGGACAGGGATCTACAATTAGTGCTAACGAGTTCAGGAACAGTCATTTGATTAATTTGTGTACGTTTCAGTGCACGCTGCCAGCCACAGTGATGCTTTTTTCTCAATTTTTGTGGATGACACAACGCGGTAGGTTGTAATGATTTTAAAAATGCGCGATTATATATAATACGATTAGGACACATTATTGATAAATTAAAACAAAATTAAAAGAGCAAACCAAAGCAATTTTGCAAAATATTGTAAGGTGGAATTTTTGGTAGCCCTATGTTCAAACAGGCCGCCTACGATCACATAGTGTATGTGTTTGTGTACCCTGTACGCAACGTTGCTGCACGTAAAAAAAAATAAATCTACAGTATTACTTTTCTTCTCCATATGAAAGAGAATTATTCTTGATATATTGTATCGAACTGTTAATGACATCATGGTGCATTTCTGTTGTCATCCTGTTTTTCTTTTTGTTCAGCAAGTGAAAATATTGAAAACGACCCACATAAACAAAATGTAAGTCAAAAGGAATTTTTAGATTGTGTAATATCACTGTAGAATCATTTTATTTATATTAACTTTATAACATTCGTTATTTTATTTCTTGAAAACAGAAACTTGATAAAAATATTAGGGTACCAATTTGATAACAGTAAAAGGTAAATAAAGTAAGTAGACTCTGTCACCAACTGAAAAATATTGAACACTATAGATCTAATGCAAAATACTGGGGTCACGAGACGAGCAAATTACCACTTTGGCAATGGCAGAAATTCATACAGTACAACGCTATCGCTATCTAGTGTCAGTGACCAGCATCTGCCTTCACAGTCGAGTTGTCATACCCAAACTGGTAATGAATTCCCATTAGAACTCCAGAAAATAAATTCCCCAGTCAATTATGAACTTGCAGTTGACAAGTTTTCAAGGGTTACATTTGCAACATCTATTCCCTTTGATAAGTTCGAATAAGGCATTAAGAAGATAAATATCGCAAGGTAGCATCATTTCGTAGTTTCTCTACAATCGCTTTAGAACTAAAACGGTTCACAATAAAATAAAATGTATGAATTGATAAAAGAACTTCTTCACCGTGGTAGAGTATAATTCCATTGTGGGCAAAATTTACTTTGATAAAGTCTCAGTCTTATACAGTGATATTTACTGATAACAACGTTTCGAGCACAATCTATACCTCGTTATCATTTCAAGATACTCAAAAAAGCCTTATAACCTCGTTTATACCATTCCATTATTTTTCATCGCATATTCTGATTGGTAATTGTATCCGCCATATTTCCGGTATGAGCGATGAGTCATTTCTTTCGTACGTGTTGGGTAGATTCAATGAATAAAGATTCTTTATAATAAAGGTTTTTGTATTTCCCAATGAATGGAAAACAAAACGATATTGTTTTTACTGACGTTTCGCTATTTAATGCTAATAGCTTTATCAAAGTATTATTAAACCGGAATTTACAAAATCTCAACATATATATAACAAAGAGTTAAGAGGTGAGCAAAATAGACTTAGTTCAACTCAAAAAGACATATTGAAAGTCAAAATAACAATGAAGATCACTAAACCAAATATCGAAGGTAATAGTACATCTATTATGATATCAAAACAAAGTTTACTAACTTGATCATCGTTCGTTAGTCTAGAGTCATTTGTGGTTGTCAAGTTGGTCAATTGGTAAAGATAACAAAATCAAGTGTAGATTGTTGGATTTGATCAGTGTGTAAAATTATAAAAGCAGTGTGTGTTTACATAGTGAACTTGCTTATCACATTCGTGTTGATTTTATCACTTCATGGAGGTGTTGTAACCAGGTAGAATTCTGTCTTAGTTCATCATTCCTATTCAGGAAATTTGGATTCCATTTGATATGAAATGCTTCTGATATTAGACGTTCTTTGTGATTTCTGAAGTTTTTTCAAATTGTTTCAATACTGTCACAATCAATTTTGTGGCCTGATTGTATAGCTTGTAGACATATGGTTGATGTTTTTTCAAGTTTTTCTAGTTCGACCGGATTTCTCGGTGGTCGAAGAGATGCTCTACGGTGTTCATTTCTTTTGATTTCTGGAGATGTTTGTCCGATGTAGATCGCATCACATTCCAAGCATTTTATTTTATAGACACAATTAGATAGAAAACCTTTAGGGATTTGGTCTATTATATGGACAAGGTTGCTTTGAAGGGTGTCTGATGTTTTGAAGAAAATTCTAATGTCGAGCTGATTGAGTACTCTTCTGATATCGTCTGACGTCTGCGCTCTATATGGAATGGCGTTTTCGGCCATACTTAATGTCTGTGTTAATGAAGTTCCTTTGGTAGTTGTTTTGCTTGAGAGTTTCAGTAGTGTTTGATATTTCTTCTTCTTTTTCTTTCGCATCCGTAATCAGAGAGTGTGCTCGTCTAAGAAGGCTTGAAACAACTGAAATCTTTTCACTGATGGAATGTGATGATTTGAAGTCTAAATATTTATTGGAGTGGGTTTTCTTCCTGAATATGGATATACTAAAATGTCCGTTTTCCCTCCTCTTAACTAGGCAGTCTAGAAATGGTAGTTCACCGATGTTTGATTCTGCTTCCGAAGTAAACTGGATTCTGGGAGATATTTTCTCCAGGAATGAATTGTGTAGATCTCGTTTTAATACTACAAAAGTATCATCCACATATCTAAACCATATTTTAGGAGTGAGTATGCTTGAAAAGATGTTATTTTCGAATTTACTCATGAAAAGGTCGGCGACTATTAGGGAGACTGGTGAACCCATAGCAACGCCATTTGTCTGTCTATATAAACTCTCTTTAAATGTAAGATAATTACTTTCTAGACAGAAGTTTAATCTCTTAATTATTTCACTGGTGTCCAGTGGACATCTTTGTGATAGCGTCGTATCTGATTCTAGTAGACTGGAGATAATATCAAGACTATCAGTAATGGGGATACTAGTATTTAATGTGTTAATATCATAGCTTACCATAACGTCTTCTTTATCAATTTCTCGGTGTTCTATTTGGGATTTGAAATCATATGAATTTATTACAATATTTTGAGTGCCCTTTTGTAGTGGCTTTAGTATGGAAAATAAGTATTTACAGAGGTTGTATGTCAGTGAGTTGGTGAAATCTACTACTGATCTTAATGGAACTGTGGGTGTATGTATCATTGGTTGACTGTGGAACCTTGAAGGTACATAAGATTTTGGTTTTAGTTTAAACCAGAGAGAATTTCCAATTTTGGGTTTCATTTCTTGAAGGAGTCTGTTTGTATTTAGTTTAATTTTGTTGATTTCGGCAGGTTTCTTCTTCTCTTCAATGCGTAAGTATGATCTTCCAGATAAGTGTTCAATCGCCTTTTTTTCATAATCCGTTCTGTTCATTATCACAGTGACGTTTCCCTTGTCGGCTTTCGTTATAACGATGCTTTTGTCTTTCTTCAAATTTCTTAAGGCTTGTTGGGTGAAATTAGATGGTATGTTTCGTTGTGTCATTAATATGTGTGATGGACCTCTCTCTCCACCTACCTATATTACTTCTAGGAATTTTAGCACTCTTTCACCCTACTGTGTTGTTGTGTGTTGATGCATACAGGGAAATTGCTGAGTTTTGTTTTTTAAGCGAAGGTTACAATGACTGACCGCGCGAAGATAAGTAATTTAGAAAAATGCTCAGCTATTGTACTGTATGCGTTAGCACACAACCATACAGTAGGATGGGAGAGGGTTAAAATTCTACCAATCAAATCAAGCAATGAAAAATAATGGAATGGTATAAGCGAGGTTATAAGGCTTTTGTGAGTACCTTGATATGATAACGAGCTATAAATTGTGCGCAAAACTTTGTCATCAATAAATATTACTGTATAAGACTGTGAGACTTTATCAAAATAAATTTTATCCCCAATGAAAATCTACGAACAATTACTCAGTTATATAAAATTAAAGTATAAGCTAGTAACCAATCATATTTTAGTGGGTCAGGTACTCCATAGTTGTTGAAAACAATAGTTTCCTGTACACATAGTTTGGGGTGCATTTGATCAATCCATAGTGCTTCCACCACCTTCAAGAATATTGCATTAGAGTTATGTGAAATAATTGTGAAACAGTCATTAATACTTATTTTATGACCTGACATTAATAAGTGCTTTGCAACGGATGCTAATGGGTTTCTATTCAGGTTAAGTACACTTGGGTTTTCTATGTGACGTATTAACTATTTAGGGATATGTTCATTTTGACGGCACTGAAACATTCTATTGATTTCACCTATATGTGTGTCACCGCTACTGAAGGTGAACTTGTAAATATAGTGTGAATCATAGTCCACAGAATTTTTTCCTTTAATCGTAGATAAAGAAATAGAAAATGTTCGAGACGCGAAGAAAAGATATTTGGCGTAGAATGTACGCTTTACAGATGATCGATGCCATTGAGCTGTCAACTGCATGATTTGATAACCACTGAACGATAGCTTACTAAAAATAGACTTCTTTGGTACGAAAGTTGCCTTTTCGTGGGGTAGTGTCTCCCAACTGTGACATAGGATGAAGTTTTCAGGATAACCATTAGCCAGTAAAACTAGATATATGCACCATAGGTCATCCATTTATGAGTCACTTGTGCAAATTTCACAGGCCTTTGAAAACAGGCATTTCACTAGGAGACGTTTATACTGGATGTAAACCAAGCTGTTGAAGTGAAAGTATTATCTACTCTATGTCTGTTTGAACATTATGAACCTCTTAACTGTCCCATCGTCCCCCATAGTCACTGAAACATACGAGAAATCCCGTTTGTTACACAATTCAAATTCTGTGGGCACTCGAATATTTGAATGAATATTATTAAATAAAACCTTGAATAAAATCACACGAGATAGAAAGAGGGAATAGCACCATTTATCACTACTATTCTCAACCAGTTGTTAGGTTAGGTTGGGTTGACCGATCTTACCATTGTTCTTTAACTTTACCCTCGTGTCTGAAGACAGCTCTGAAAGAAATGCGAGGGTGTATAGATCCGCTGCTTGAAGAAAGACATCTCACCCTTGAGTATGCAGACATCTTAATATGCGGTAATATTCATTGATATGAGAATATAACTTGGGCACTCTGGTGTATTATAATTCTGCCAGAGAAGTGAATTTATCTGATAAATTCAAAGTATTTTACAGTATTATTTTCTGATGGTATTTCAAGCTTAATTTATTGCACATAATCACCTTGTTATGATGATGGGTTGTTTTCAACAGTTCACAGAGCAAAGTGGCTAATATTATTGCATACCGGTACTGCAGGTCACCCAAACTGTTTTTTGAAATGCTGTGTCCACTATAGCAGGTGTTGCTTTAGGTTTTTAATAAGCATAATACTGGTCTTGTATAGCGTCTAGTTGATGTCATGCTTTTTGTCGCAAGTGATTCAAATGAGCTGGACCAACTTCCGAATCTTATTGTATTCAACTGCTGGTTCCATCTCACACACATGTTCTGACTACCAGGTTTCGCGATCGTGTCTGATTGTATGTGCAAGAGTTTTTCTCAGACCACTGCACTCACTATCTGTCAAAACGAACCGACAGGCGACAAGAAGTTGCAAGTAACTCATAAAGATTCTATATTAGTTTGTGGTTGTCAATCTGTATGACGATCACCAAATCGCAAGATACACCATAGCATAATCAAGATCCAGAAATGTGAACCACATGGAGCGACAGCCTTCTATGCACACATTGTGTCTCCAGCTGATATGAAAGCGATACCATGCGAAAAGCAACTGCAGATAACTCTTCTATAGACCAAGCTCGGATCTTAGGGTGGCTGAAAAAAAAGCTAAAATATGCCTACAGAAGCTTCAAATTTACAGATAAAAGTGCTGACGGATTAAATCGAAATAAACAACATAAGAACACCAAAAATTACAGCTGAGAAAATGTTAACCGCGAAGTTACTTCTCATAGATTATTTTCTCCTGATTGTAGTTAAGTAGGATATTATTTAACATTTTCGAATTTCATTTTAGACTGATACAAATGAAATGTCAGTAGAAGACTTGTTATTTCAACTTTCTGAGAAAAACTGTCAAATAGATTTATTACAGCGCCGTTTATCCTTTATGCTACATGAACGTGGCGTCCTGTGTCATCAGTTGGAAGAAATGAACACAATACATGATAAATTGGGGAATAAGGTAAGAATCAGTTTTTCCTAATGTATATATTATTATGTTTCTCTGTGCTTTTTTAAAGCCGACTACTTTTGTTTGCTTAATTTATCATCATTAAATCAAATTGTGTAACACTATGATTACTACTGAACGCATATACTTTGCAACAAAGTTTTTAGTTAAAATAATCAAGTGTATCTATCCGTATTTTTAGTGTAACTGTTCACACTTTGAGTTACAACACAAGGTAGAAACAAGCAGTAGAATAAATGTAGGCGGATATTTTGGCTAAGCAAAATTATAAGTGGTTGATAATTACTTAATGTTAGTACTAATCAGGAAGACCACACGAATGAGTGAGTTTTGAATCACCTATCATGGTATTTTTTTTTCCACAAACGGATATGCAAACACTTCTATCATGAAAAGTTGTGGTAGTTTGCTGTCACCTTTGAATTTCTTTAATCGACTGATGCAAATAACAACTGCTAAGTATTCACAATTCCATGGGAATAATAGTTTAAAGTACAGTGTTGCAGATGTTGTAGTAGTCAGATATTTAGATGATTCCTCTGGGAGCAAAAAAGTAGATTTGATGGTTAAGTTTACAGCCATGCGATAATATGTGGAGATGAATTCATCATAGTGTTGCAGAAGAATTACTGAAGACGTATTTTATAAGCAGTTCTTAAAAAATATCTACCACGCATTTACGGAAGATCGAAACAGATATTCAGGCTGTAGTCAGTGAGATGGGGACACATCCGGATGATGAGTCTTATAATGAAATGAAACACACCTCTTGGACTCCATTGCTAACCACCAACTATAAAATAAGAACTTTTCGGTGTAAATGAACCTGATCTAACTGATAAATACCGTCATTACACACAGATCCAGTGAAATACATTCGGCTATCCAGTACGAGCAAACTAGTTCTAGGTGAGTCATTTATAGTGCACATCAAGGAAATATCATACGTGTTTGCTAAAAGCTCATAGTTTTCCATAATTATATTCTCCATGAATGTTCATATTATGTTTTCATTCACTTATTTATATCCTGATAGGTTATATGCCAAGTTTCTTGTCCATAACAGTCAACGAGGATTTAAAATTTTTCCGTAAAAGCTAGTACACACTTTTAGCCTAAGAATTTTTTTTTATTTCTTTACGTTCTCAGTGGAACATGGGACTTCATGCTAGAGGCTTGAAGTCTCGGTAGTAATAGTGTTTGATTTTACGGGATGGGGTTGCTAATCACATGCTCAACTCTCCCTCTTCATCAGTCTTATTGCCAGCTTAGTGAGGTAAAATAGTGCGTCGGCCGGAGATCGAACCCCGGACCAACTGCGTGGTCGGCGAGCATTCTACTGCTGCGCCACCAACACACTTAACCTAGGATAATCATAAGCTTTTCGTAATCACTTGAACCTATCTAACCGATTAAAATTATAGTTTATTATTTACAAAGAAAATCAGGAGTTATTCTTTTTTTAACCTTAAAAACGTCTACTAATTATCATAAAAATACAATCGGTAAGATAGTGTGACTATAATTCATAATGAATTCTTAATTACTTATGTGTAGTAAATGGTAAATGCTAGCTAGTTACTGAATAAAATCCATATATATATATATATATATATATATATATATATATATATATATATATATATGCCAGAAACCCTTTTATTGATCTGTCTTGTCACATTCTGTTTGATAGATTATCATTGAAAATAAGCTCAAGTCACCTCTGAAAAGGTGAATAATACAGGAGTTGAATAATTAATAATGAACCACGGCATAATGTAACTTGATATTTTGATATGGTGGACAGACAGTTCAGCGAAGTCTCCTTTCGGCGAACTCATTTTCACAACTGTACAATCGCAAATATATTTAGTTATTTTCTGTGTGTGTACATTAACTTTGTCAGACGGAAATAAAGGAGCTGGCGTGGTCCTTATGGACAGAAAAGACTACATAGAGAAAATGAATAACATACTGTCAGATAAAACTAAATTCTCTCAACCACCCAATGAAATAAATAACACAAAGAGATCGTAAAGCAGCTCAGTGATTTCCTTGAAAGAATGAAAACCCAACAGTTAATCAGTCATGAAGTTTACGATCAAATTCGACCGACAGGATCAATAATACCAAGACTATAGGGCTTACCAAAGATACATAAAGCCGGTCTCCCACTGCGTTTAATTTTAGATATGTCAGGTTCCCCGTACCATTCAATAGAGAAATGGTTAGGTGATATTTTAGAACCTATATGAAAACAGATGTGCCACTAATCGTTTCGTGACACCTGTCAATTCGTCGACTGCATACAAGATATCAACGTAACAAAAAATATGCTTTCTCCTGACATTGAGTCATTATTTACCAACGTCCGATTCTCAGAAACTGTTTGTCATATTTTTCAATAAACAGACGAAAACCAATTGAACATCGAATTACCGTCAGCATGTTTAAAAGAACTACTACTGAGATGTACACTTAATGTAAAATTCCCATTCAAAGATGTTATTTACAGACAATAAGATATGATTGCAATGGGATCTTCACTGAGCCCATTGCTAGAAGACTGCTTCATGGCAAACCTCGAGAATGGCCCACTGAAATCAACTACTGATAATTTCCAATTGTATGCTAAGTATGTGGACGACATCTTTGTTATCTGTGATGATGGTCACGATCTTAATCAGATACTACAAATATACAACAACTGCCATTCAGCTACAAAGTTTACTCTTGAAATAGAAAACGGATCCAAAATTCCTTTTCTGGATGTTGAACTTACAAGACCTGAAGGAACTTTAAGAAGGTCCATTCATAGGGAACCCACGTGGAACAGCCAACTGACAAGCTTCTACAACTGGGTACCAATCAGTTGAAAAAGAAACAATTAGATCTCTTGCTATTCGCCTCCGACGCTTCTGCAGCTCTGATACCCATTAAGACTCATAAACAGAAAATTCAAAAACAAGAGACGCCATCCATGGCAAAAAAAGATACTTTATATGAACCTCGACTTCAAAGGTGACCTACTCAGTGATATCCTTAGGAGGACAATCTCCACTTTTTTAAGATCTTTGCCCGCGGCGACACTGAGAGTAGTGTTCTCCAGTCGCCCGCTGATCTGCAGAAGCCCAAAGGACAAGATCTCGTACCTGACCACTTCTATGTGTATATATCAGTTCACCTGTTGCTGTGGAGTCAGGTACATCGGTCAAAAAGGGTTAAAGAACACTATCTAGCGTGGCTGCAGAAAGGAAGTAGTGGCCGTATAAGGAGTGCAATAATCGAACACCTCGAGACCACAGGACATTCCACCTTAACAAACGCCTCCTTGAAAGTAATCTACAAAGTGAAGAACAACCTGCCAAAGACAATAAACTTCCGCCTTCTTTGCATTTCAGAAGCCTTAGCCATTCAGTTAGAAAAACCAGAACTATGCATACAAAAGGAAATTATTCAGCCAATTCTACTATCATGGTAACAACTCTGTTTGTCTGACTTGACTTTTGTCTGTTTTCCTAACTACCTAAAACTCTTAAGTAATTCCGTATTTATTTTGTTTGCATGTTCACCCTGAGCACAACTCCCTCACCAACCTATTCATATTATTACGTAACTCTTCTTTAACACTCGTTTATGACAATTCACCACTTTTGTTACTATCCCCTTGTACCAACATCCAACTCCTCTGAATACTTTTTATATTACGTAACTTCACCAAAAACTTACTAAATGTACTTTCGTTTGATGAATTCAATGTACACACGTACAAAATAACTATATATATTTGCGATTGTACAGCTTTGAAAATGAATTCGCCGAAAAGACTCTTCGCTGAACTACTGTTCTTTTCTCTCTATTAATCACAATTTCTTGTGAAATAAATTACCACTGTTTTCCCAGATTTCTGCATCCCTGTATTATGGAAATATTTTTCCACCTGCTTTTAAGCAGCACGTGAATCTGTAACATAAGTTTTGATGATAGAACACGTAATTGGTGTGATTTTTAAAAAAGTTGTCGAGATCGTAGAAAAATGATTGATTTTGAATTTCGTAGGATGATCATCATGGAACTATGTTTGGTATTTTAACCGATTATATATATATAACCAATACGTACTGATTTCCTTTTAGTAGTGAACCTAGTGATAATCTCAAAGAGTCTTGTCAAATTATCGTCTAAAAATTGTCGTTGAATATAAAAGATATCTATCCATCAGACATTTCAGAAAAATACTAGGGACAAATATATCCCCTGCCTTTTCATCATTTATTGCAGAACTTCAAAGATTATATCAGAAATATATATCAGAAATCGGAACAAGGTGCTCATAATGCTGTAACACTGAAGTGTCAGCAACACGATTTCGTGAAGTTGTTGCAATAATTGGATATTTTGTACATTTTAGGTAGACTATTGATGATATGGCTTCATTTCGTAATCTTTGTTCTTTTTTATTAATTTATTTCATTATGACAGCAAAAGTGTTCAGGCCTGTGTAACTTATTATTATCTATTTTTTCATTTAAGCATGAATATATTTTATTTTCGAATATCTTTTAGATGTCCCTGACTGCTAAGAGCAAACGTACACAACTTCTTATGAACAATGCAACACTGAAAGATGATTTTTCAAAATATTCTTACAGGTAAAAGCATATAATGTTAGGTTTTTTTATTAGTTTAATTACAATAATTTCTCATTATTGCCGGTCTGTATCAAACTGTACATCTCCAGAAAGGCTGATTCAGGATGATTGATTCGAACTGGAGAACCCGCGTATATTTGAAGGTGGTGAAAGAACATCATGCTATACTAGTTGATTGTTTGGAGGCATGAACTGAACACTTTGAAGCCATATTAGTATGCTACCAAAAAACCTCAGCCGAACAGATTGGCAGTACCGGACATAAATCACTATCACGATAAAATTAGTAGGAATCAGAGATGGTATACTTTATGTGTTCCCTATTTGAATATCTCTTTATAATTAAAGGATTCCGGTTTCTAAAAATGACTATATAACAACTTTCAGCCTTTATCACAAATATGACTGGTTTGTATTAAAGCTGCTACTACTAAACTTTAAGATATTTACCACTAATGGTTAATCACTACAGGATTCTAAGTTCATTCTCGTTTGATAAACATCAGTCTTAACTACGTGAGGACTACATTGTTCACTGATGTGTTGTACTTCAAGTATTAGCAATTCATTAGAATAAAATACAGTAAATAGTTAAATAAAGTCAATGAAAAAAGTTAAGATAGCATTTTCAAATATCATGAATGAATTTGTTAGGAAATTAGAACTCAATTACTCACTACCACTCTGTAAGCCAAATTTAATGTGTGAGGACTGAAGATACTGCCCAGGCCGAAGTGAGCACAGTGAGATTCCAAATTGGAACAGACTGCTTGGAAGTTTAGTGTCTAAGCCAGTGGGATTTATCTCTTCATCATGACTACATACATAACTTGTTTGATGCTCCCAGAAATTTGTAGTGATAAAAGTAAAATAACTTTAGGCTTACAGTAAAAGACTTCAAATGTTAATAACGAAACTGGACGGGAATCGTAACCGCTTAAATTGAAGTAAAAGAAACTTTGGATTTAAAAAGTTTAGCAAGGGGAAATATGGCAGAAGATCAAAAATAAATACAAACTATATAAGGAGTAACTGACAATAATAATATGTGAACAAATTATTCTTCAGGTACTTAGTTAGATCTGAGCTTCTCTACTTACCTATTCTCTTAGAAGATATTTTAGTATAAACTAGTCAAATGCTGAGAGAACCCACTTTTGGAAGTGTTACTTTCCTAGAATTGTATGTTCCTCAAATCGCATCAAGACAACCGAAGTTATTATTACTATTCCCTTGGGTTTTGAGTGGGACATAGGGCTTCAAATATCCGAAGTTGAGATCTACATTTTGCTATATTAATGAACTCAATTTGGCATGCACATATTTACGCAACATACGGAGGATACCGTTGGAACTTCAATCAGAATAATATGTGATGTGTTTATTACACTCAATCTAGCTTTGTTTAACGATAAGTTTCGATCAGTAGCGCTTATGTTCCTCCCCCTGTGAGATAAAGCTAGACATCCCAGTAAAAGCCGAATGAAAACTGCTGATATGGAGCAGATCGTGTGAAGAAAAAATGGAAGCTAGGGGGCGACCTTGGAGCCAGGTGAGGATGAAAACAGAGAACTGACTGCAATAAAGATTTCCTGTTGCAGACCTATGTTCCTATCGAAACGAATAACAATACAATGACAAATATATGATAGAGAAGATTTGTAGCTTAGGTGGATGATTTTGATGTGGTTTTGTTCTCTGAGCTGGATGGTTAGTTTGAGAAGCTTTCATCACCATGAAAGCTTCGCAAACTAACCATCCAGCTCAGAGAACAAAACCACATCAAAATGACAAATACAATTCTGCATATCAAGTTCCTTCAGCTTTTGTACTCTTGGCTTAACAGTTTTATTTAGCATGTTAATTTTGTTTTGAGTGAACTTGCAATTCTCCTGCCCCTTTCTTCAGTAACATTGAAAATTTATTCATAAAGCAGCTCTTTTATTTGTTCTCACATGAACTCAACTTGAAGAATTCAGTGGGAAAATAAACACACATTCATCATCGTATAGGACAGTTTGTCTTCCGCAGAAAACGCACCTTCATCGATTCAAAATTACAGTTTAGACATTTTGACAAAAACTTCATTTTGTTAATAATAACTGCTCCTTACCCCATAAAATAAAAACTAAGTATTTATATGCATAGAAATATCAATGTATTTTTGTTTTAAAACAATTAAACAAACTTAGTCTAGACTTTTGAACTCTGAGTCGACAGGCAATTGTTCCATCTACTCAAATGACAAGAATGAATGTTTCCTACTAGTTTGTAAGATTATTAACTACTTACTAAAAATATCACCGTTTAATCCGCTCACATATATTTTCACCGTAAATTTTCAAATCATATTTTAAAATCTTAATATTTTACAGAACTGAAATAGATTCTAACTGTGATACAGAATTCACCTCTGAACTACCCACAACAAGTTTAATCACCACAACAAATATAGTAAATAAAGCAGAGATAATCCAGTCTACATCGTCAACTGAAGAATGCAAATTCCTTGATAAAAAGGCTAGTGAATTACAGATTGATGATACTGATGGAATATGAGGACTTGTACAAGTACAAAACACTGTGACAGATAAAATGTTTAACGTCTAGAATAGTCTTTTAAAAAAGGAATCACACACCGTTGCATATCGATCTGCACACAAGATAATTCGTAGACGAATCGTTGTACAAATATATATACTGTACGAGAAAAACAGTCGCTGTTAATTTCTGAGTCTTAATCATGTTTATAATCTCTATATCCAACAATGAATACAATTTTCCCATATTGAAATTTTTGTTAAACATTTATAGCATTTCAAAAACGCCTCCAATCATCTGATTAAACATCTATTTTCTAAATTGATGTACATTTTTTGACAAGTAGATAATTCACTTCCTTTTGTTTTCGACACTCTACTTCAACAGGTTATCTTTTCAAAAATTGATAGAAAAAAGCAAACAATTCCATTGCATTTTATTTATATTCCTGATTTCACACTATGATTTCTCTTAAAAGTGTTTACCTAAGATCTCAAATGAATTTATGTAAAATTAAATACTTGTGTTCAATGAAAGATATTTATTTGATGTAGAGATTGGAATAAATTTGCTTAATAAAGAATACGGCTTGAAACACAGAATTCGACGCTTCTTTTAAGAATACGATAAAAACGTATGTGAACTGTACTCTATCAATACTGAAAGTATTTTGTCTGGTGGCAGAGCTTTAACCGAACACGATGAGGGAAATTATGAAAAGGCGAGATTTGAGCAGATACATTACGACTATCTCTTTGATTACTGTGAGCGCAGTGAATAAAATATAATAGTATGGTCACCACTGTCTGAATGTACCCTCGCAGTGACCTCTTAGGTAGACTCGTCTTAGATTCTGTTATTATGCATCAAGGGGACTGTTCACTGTTATTTATTCGGCTCCTAACAGTGTACACATATCATTTTTGTTTTTACATTTGAGATCAAATTTCATTTCTCCTGTCTGTTTCGTATCGATTCGAATACATTCATACGCTTAATATGTTGAACTAAGCGTTTTTTTTTCAAAATAGAGCATAACAACAGTTCCTCAGTTATAAGTGTTTCCTAAACTATGGTCACCTTGATCGCATTAATCAGACATATAAGATAAACTTATTTTCCACTGGGAAAACAAACCATTTCAGCGTTACAATACTGGCTTTTGGAGTTCACTATGATCCAGCTTCACATAACTGAATGACATAAACGTCTTTCTGAAAATAACTTAGTATTGTTGATATTAGAATAGAACCTCTGCACTGTGGTAGAGTATAATTCCATTGTGGGCAAAACTTATTTTGATAAAGTCTCACAGTCTTATACAGTGATATTTACTGATAACAACGTTTCGAGCACAATTTATACCTCGTTATCATATCAAGGTACTCACACAACTTTCTAACTCGTTTATAGAATTTCATTGTTTTTCATCGCTTGATTTGATTGGTAGTCGTATCTTCCACATTTTCGGTATGAGTTATGACTCATTCCTATTGCTTGTGTTGGGTGTAGATTTAATGAATATAGATTCGGTAATAACCTCTCTCTCCACCTACCTATATTATATTTTAGAATTTTAACCCTCTCCCACCCTATTGTGTGGTTGTGTGTTAACGCATACAGTGCAACTGCTGAGTGTATTTCTAAATTACTTATCTTCGCCGGGTCAGTCATTCTAACTTTCTTTTAGAAAACAAAACTCAACAACTGCACTGCATGCATCAACACACAACACAACTTCTCGGATGAAATCAGAGGTGTAACTGACTGAAACTGAGCAAAGGAAATAGGTCTCAGCAGTTTTTCACAGCTAAGGATTCAACAAACATGTTTTGTGTATTGATTTGCATGAAGTATTAAAACTAAGTCTGTAATGTGCTCTGACAGAATCAACTGGGTAAGATTATTTTATTTGTCGATGACTTTTCGAAACCATATTACCAACTATTAATTTTACAGTAGAAAAAAAACATTTGCTACAATTCACCTACCCATAAGACATGAATTACCGCACAGTTAAGCATATCAGCCAAACATTAACAATTTTTAGAAAATCAAACAATATTTACACTTTCGGAAAAGAATTTTTTCAAGTAAGGAGAAATGTTATGAATTACGATAGTTAGAAAGACATATGTTAGTAACAGATAAAAAAAATATTCTTTTACCCCACAATAACACGTAGGGACAAAATCCGAAGTGCTTCTTCAGGTGTCAGTCTATATACTCCCAACTCGAGTAGAGATCCCAATGGATTGTTATCATCCTTTCGCACAGTACTCACTGATTCATTGAGAGTGTCTTTTAAGAGTTCAGCTGTCCCAGGCAATAAGTTTAAAAGAACACACGCATCACGAGTTTGGGAGAAGAATGATTCTGGACGTTCAGTGTACAAGTTGAACAATGAGTACAAACAGTTTGTGAGATCAAAACGTAATTGAGCAGCTCCAAGAGAAGTAAATCGATTCATAAGAATCAGCTGTAGGAGAAGATTAAAACAATCGATTACCAGTTACTAATATTTACTTCAAGCCAATCAATCGTCAATACACTCCTACATTTGTGTACATGTTAGTGAACAAGTGGTCAAAGCACTTGATATTTATCTAGTTTGTTTGTTGTCAATTGCTACACTTCTTAAAAGCTAAATATTTAAGCAAATGACATGAAACCAAAAAAAAGGAAAAAAAGATTGAAGTCACAACCTAAGAAAGGATTTGGGTACTATGACAGAGAATAATTCGAACACGGAGTTATACTAATTAGTTAGTTACTTCGTGTTACATGTTGGTGATAGCTTAGCAAATCGAACGAAAACTGAGAGTGAGGTAAAGCTTCATTCTTACTTACACATTTTGTCAACATATTCACGGTACATTTTCTAGTATTTTCCCACTTTAATTCCCCTGTTTGGTGATTGACTACCTTACTCTGGTAAGTGAACAATCCTCAGTGATGATGTAGTATTATACTCTATAAACTTCAACAGTCGGTTGAAGACAAATAATACTTGTAGTTAACGAGCATATCTCAAAAAGCTCTTGGAGTTACAATTGAATTTTAATGCTGTTGAGAAGACTTAAACAAGGTGGAAAACTCATTTGTCTATTTCTATTGCGTTTCTCCGAATCCAACTACCCTGTCGACTTTTATTGACAGTGACTCACATTTCTAAGGATTTTCTAGCTTACAACGTTGAAACATCAGTGATTAACTAATGAATTAATTCTCAACTCATCACCGTATCAGAATGGAGGGCAGATACAACTATACTACTTTCAGATTTTCATAAGACAAAAACATACCAGTACGCCAAAATTGTGGAGCTGTAGTCCACTGATGCAGGCGCCCAATTCCCACCCAAGGGATAACGGGTTTGAACGCCGCTCCACCGACGGAGATATCGGCAACTAGATAGCTTCTTTAGTCCTCACTTTCAATTGCATAGAAATGCAGATGGTCATTGAACGATATTTACTCTTGATTGTCGCTAACACTCAAATCTCCATAAAACGATAGATTCGCCAAGTGAACAGTGTTAAATTTCAAAGAAAATGAAACAACCGATATGTTCGTGAAGATCATGTAAAGTGGTTGAAGCGTATATCGCGTACATCTGACTACTGCTTACCCTTAATATATCATATTAATTGCAATCTGAAACCTAACTATTACGTTCCACTACGACTGAATTATTAGGAGATTGATAAAATTATGGTTTTACATGACCAGGTGTATTCAGTGGTTATTTTGACCTTAAATCTCATGCCTATTAATTAGTACTAATTTAATTAATATCCCTTAATGTTTTAGAAATTCAATTTAATAATGGCAGACAAACCTCATTATAAAAGTAGTCATCCAATTGAGATGCTATTGATTTCCATACATGAGAAAAAAGTTTCCAATGCACCGATATTGATAAATGATACAACCAGTCATGTAATGCATGAAAAAACACTGATGCATTGGTTGACATCATTAAATTGGCATTTTCACTCTTTATATTGCCTAAATGGCCTGACTCAGAAGTATCACACAGCCAATTATCCGATGAACGAATATATAACGAAGATTTCTCTTTTAGGTCTTTTAATACCACTTTAACTGTTTCTTCCAACATACGTTTTATCTGACTGCTGTATAACAGTAACATCTAGTCAGTAAGGCAAAAAGGAAAGGGGAAAATTGTTAAAATGAATGTATATATGCGTTAGCGGTAGAATGCTCACCAATCCAGACATGTGGTCTTGCTTTCGAGCCCAGGCTGACATACGCCTAAGCTTTTCTAAGCCGGTAGTAAGTCCAGTAAACAGGGAACGTTGGGTGTGAAGCTAGCAACCTCACTCCACAAAAATAAGACCACTGCTACTTAAACTTCAACGGTCCAGTTTTAAGCCCTATTTTCCACTGGGAATGCAGAAAAATAGGACTATTCATTTTTTTATTTATTCATTTTTTATTTTATTATTATTATTTTTGGTACAAGCATGGAATTTTCAGCATGTGACATCGGTAGCCCGAATTTTGTAGGCCGATCATTGATATCAGGTGTGCGTCGGCAGGGAATTGAACCCCAGACCATGTGCATGGTTGGCGAGAGTTCTAACCGCTGTTCCACCGACGCATATATATATATATATATACATGAATATTCAGTGCAAAGTAAAGAATTTTAACAAATCGAATCGAACTGTGAAAATATTTCAGGAAAATTGAGAAGATTAGGAACGTTTAAAATGCGAACGATTAATGACCCTAGTCGATAAAAATGTGACATTCTAGAAAATTGCCCATGTGGAGTGAAATTTTGTTTGATAAATCGGACTTTAATAACTTTGAACGCTTATTACTACGTCCGTATCAGGAGACAAATATTTCCACAAACAAGTAAATAGTATTATTCACATTATTTTCTTCGCCTTAACGATCAAAACTGCCATCTGGTGTTTAGATCATTCCAGTCTGGCAAGCAAGCACAACCGGTTAGTGCGAGTGGTATACAACTATTCATTTCAATCAATCAGTAGTGTATAGTTTTAGGACTACCGTAATTCCCCACACATTACCTAATACCTCGGCCAGACCAGATAAAAGTTCATCAGTGTCACCTTTGAACATATCTGGAGTAGTTCTATCAGGTCCGCGTAATCTGCATTGTTTTAGATTGCACAGCTTTTGCAAACCTTCAGTGACAATTTGGAGACCGATGTCTATATTCCACTTAGCGTTACTGAATTTAGCGTGACTGTAGACCAGCTGAATTGCCTGTCACACAGAAAATAGTTTGGGAATCATTTTGAACAGCAGTACCAGATTTTTTCAGCTGCCAGTTGGAGAATCACATAAAGCCGAATAATTAGTTTTCAAGTAGTATCTAATACTTTATTTGCATCAGGTGATGAGTTAGAATGTACGGAGTAGCACCACGATGAGGGATACCAGTCTAGATGAAAATCTATTTGAAGACTTCTGTTTACTGAAATGCACGATATTCATGACTCAGTTAATTGAAACACACTAGCAAAAATCACATGGCTACTTCATCTAAGTGACCCACAAAGGTTAAAAGTTTAAGCCTTATATATATATATAATTGTTCCCTTGGGTTCCTTAGTGGAACACAGGGCTTCAGCTGCACGTCTTCACTTGCTTCTGTCTTCCGCTGTACTTTTCACCTGCATCCATGTTAGTCCATAATGTTTTAACTCCTCTTCACACGATCTCCTCCATGTCACCTTTGGACGTCTCAATCGCCTCTTCCCTTTCGGGTTATATATATATATATATATATAAGTCCACTAATTTTTTATTCCGGTATACTGCTACTAACCTGAGTGAAAACGCCACCATGCAAACCAAGGTAAGTATCAGAGGAGCACGATTCATTAAAAGCCTCATTTTGCGATTCATGTTCTTTTAACTGTGAGAAAAAATACCTTTCATTATTAAAAATTCAATGGTGAAAAATATAATAAAAAAATTAACAACGGATACTCTGCCTATTCAAAAATCAAACAAATAATCATGCTCGACAGCTTATCGCAGTAACTGCACTGGAAAGAAAATGGCAAACCAATCAAAACCAGGCAATTTTTAAAAAACAGCTGAAATTTACCGATCTGGTGTTGATAAGTCTATTAACAATGGCTAGTCAGTAACAACTCTGAGTGATAATTGACCAAAACAACAACTGAAGGGTAGGAATATTTGGAAAAATTGAACAAATGGTTAAATGATAAATAATTTCTGGAAAAAAATAGGTGTACCAGAGTTGAAATTTAGTACGTAAGAAATAATTAAAAATTATGATGAAGTAGGCAAGATGGTAGGGCAGTTAAAATGATCATAACTTGCAAGTGACAGTGGAAAGGGGAAACTGTTAATCTTTTACTTTCGTATAACCATCGTCATTGTAGGAGAAGTGGATATACAAATTTCTTTTCAACACACAGGTGGTATCATGTATTTAGAAGATGAACTCGTAAAGTAAGATTAAGATTAGTCGGAAGAGGATAGATAATGTTAAATGCCTTGTTAGCGTCCAATTTATATTCAGCATTCTCAAGGTATGCTAAAACAGAGTAACGAATAGGCATTGTGTTGTCTCTTCGTTAACCATGCAGTATATTCGCAAACTTTGACGGTGAATATGCTTTATTTGTACTTCCAATATGACTAGCTCCAGAGAAGTAGATGACTGGGAAATACATATAAGGGAGGAGAACGTAGATAGTTTATCCTTATTTCTCGAAAGTGAAACTGAAGTTGTGAAAACAGATTGTATCTTTCGCGTAAACTAACTGTTGTGGACTTCATTGATTGACACCGTGTTTTTTGCTTTGACTACCATTAGCTATTTTCCAAACTGACCCTATGTCTGCCAGCTAACATTGTCTAGCGAGAGGCGATGCTCAGGAATACATAACACATGTCCTAACCATCTCAATCGGTGTAACTTCACAATCTACTCGTTTGATTTCCCCTCCTTACCTAGCACTCGACTGATGCTTACCTCGATATTACTCACCCTATTATATCATCTAACACAGGAGATACAAGTCAAACACCCATTATCAAAGACAGCTATCCTTTTCGTATCTCCCACATAAGACTACTGACCGTAAATCATTCCTGGAAGTCTTTTTCCATAATTTAACCAGAAACGAAACTAATGAAAGAGAGTCTTCGTCTTTAAGAAAACATTAGACTCATCCGATTTGTTAGTATACGTAAATGAACTATCGGTGTAACTATCGATCTTCACTGATGAATTCACTATTTTTGCCGCTGCTTCGTTTGGTAACTCCTTATCTACAGTGACTGGCGACTTCAACTCCAGCGACTGCAGTTTTATTACATTGCTGGGCCATGAAAATGTTGTTAATTTCCCAACTCGACAAAATATTTCACTTGATTTAGCATTTATAGATGATTCTGGAATATACGAAGCTCGTAAAAGAGCTCCGCTCTTCAATTCTGATCACTGTATTGTACGAGTCTAAGAAAGTCCTTCACAGATGTTACTCAAATGAGAACGTACATCATCTTAGAAACATGCTCAGTGACACAAGATGGGATATATTTAATTATGATTCACTTGATGACAATATCTATAATATTACATCCTATCTGAAATTCTGTTTTGAAATTTGCTGTCCAAAAGAAACACTATTCGTCAAATTTGACCGTTTCTCCTCTCCTCAACTTAAAAAGCTTCGTAGAGAGAAGGAAAAACTATATAAGATGAAAGATAAAAGTGGTGTAAAAAGAACTAACTTCTTAATTAAGTCTGAAATGCAGAGGTTGAATGTAATATATAACCAGAAATTCATATCCTGCAAAAATCCTTCTAATATGTGGAAACTATTTAAGGAAATCACTGGTGGTAAGCAGATAAACAATATTCCATATTCTTTTGATGTATGTACTCTTAACAAATCTTTTATTTACTCTCCCCCAAATGCCATGCTTCCCAGCATCACTTGTGTTAATAATAGCCCCTTTCCAGGTTTTAACACAAATGATGTTCAAAAGTGCCTCAAGTCTCTAAACCCTTCCCAGAGCTTAGGTCCAGATTATGTACCTAGTATTATTTTTTTAAACGTTCTGATATTCTGTGTCACCCTCTCACTGATCTATTTAACAAATCTTTTTCCGATAATATTGTGCCTGCCGTTTGGAAGGACATTAAAGTTGTACCCATACCTAAATCATCCACTGGAGCATGTGTCAAATTTAGACCCATTGCTATTACCTCTCCTTTTTTGAAAACTATGGAGAAATTACTTTTACTTAGTCTTGAACCTTCGCTTAAATCCTTTAATGACCCTAAACAATTCGCCTGTAAGCACAGTAGAAGCACTTTAGATGCAGCTGCCGTCTTATATCATAACATTGCTTCCAGTCTAGACAAGGGGGCTAAATTTGTTCGTGTTGCCTTCCTAGACTATACATCTGCTTTCGACTCGGTCCCTAGGGACATCTTATTAAATAAACTTGCTGCTAGTCAAACAGAATGTTGGGCTGTTAACTGGTTACATTCCTATTTCTCAGAAAGAAAGCAGTACACCGTATATAAAGGGAAGTCTTCCACTTCATTGCCTACTGAAGCTGGTGTCCCTCAAGGTGCTGTTCTTTCTCCTTTTCTTTTTTCTTTCTTCTTGCATGACTTGCCTCACTCTGATGAAATAAACTTTGTGAAGTAAGCTGATGATTTAACGGTTTCAATGGCTGTTAACTCCCAGCTGTCTGTCTGTCTGTCTGTTTTCGACATAGAACTTTGCACAAATGTGCGGAAGTTCAAGTCGCCACACTCCGTGTAGCACGCGAAGCAAGAGAAGAAAGTATAAGAAAAGCATAATAGAAACTGTGAGCAGAGGTGTGAGACAAAGAAGGAGTAATAACGAAGAACAAAACAGTTTCATTGAAGATCATAAGTCACAGGGAGTGGATGCATCTGCGCCACTGAGAACGATTTTGAGCCATGTCACCAATTGTTTCCAACCATAGATTTTTACCGTCCCGAGGACCCCAGCCTGGAAGTCTACACCTTCCTACGTGGCTAAGACCAACTGTTGTACTAGAATAAATAGCTTTCTATCGGAAGTCAGCAAATGGTCTGAGTCTAACGGTCTTAAACTGAATCCTTCTAAGTGTCAAACTGTTGATTTCAGCTTAAGATGTAAACGACAGTTAAAAGAAGTCATCGATTCTCATGACAGTTGTAAAATTGACGACAATGATATGGGAATCAAATCAGAAATTAAGTATCTTGGACTCATTCTCTCTTCTGATCTCTCCTGGACTTTCCATGTCTTAGCAATCTCCAGTAAAATATTCCGCCTGACATTTTACATTAAAAAGTTAAGACACTTGGGTATAACTCAACTCCTCCTCTTACAGTTTATAAACTCTTGCATCCTACCTATTCTTCTTTATTGTTCACCCTTATTCTTTCCTGGTTCGCTTAAAAAAGATTAAGTCACAATTCGTAGAATGCTGAAGACTGTCAGTAGGGTGAGTGGTATCCCAGCGGACCACATAGTTAACATCGTTGTCGATAGGCACTTGACTTCGTGCAATAAATTTGCTAGAAGGATTTTGTCTGACTTGGAGCATCCACTTTACCCTCAGCTTTCACCTTGCATTTCCTCAGGTAGAACAAGGAGTAACTTCAGAAAACTATATGCTCGCACGTCTAAGTATAAAAATTCTATGATACCATACTTGGTACGTATTTTATGTGATGAAAATAGCGTCAGGCAAGAACTAACTAACCTTTTTTCATCTAGTAAACAAACAATTTCCTCCATCCATCCTTATATACCTTGAAGTTTTACTTTTATTATTTCTATTATATTTATGGTCCTGTTACTTCTTTTTTTTACTCTCATAAGTGCAAACACCAACTTATCTCCATGACTGCTGTAATCTTTGTTTTTCCCCTCACCATATCATGTAATAAGGACATTATATTCAATATTTTTAAACATGTTAGGATTTCTATACCACATTGCCGATACTGTGTGAAACAAGCCCACAGTAATTTTCACTTGTATTATTATTACCCTAGCTGTTATCATTATTATTTCCATTTTATGTGCTGCATGTTTTTGACACTACCTCTATTGTAAATGTGGAAAATTTTCTGTGCGATTAATTTTTATTTATAATTTGAGGAAATTAGATGCAATATTGTGATTAATGCTGAAAATTCCATTCTGTATCACAAGTACTGTTTTTGGAATAAAGTAAATCATTATTATTATGACAGACGTGGAAACTGGATTATTTTCACTTCCCCTTCAATGTCACTAATCAGTAACAATACACAGAAATTTAAGGTGTTACAATGCACTTACTTCAGATGCCATTATGTTAGTCTTATAAGTATTCAAGCCAATATCTTTCAACCAAGGATCACCAAACTGTAACAACCGACGAGTGGACAGATCTTCCCAAAATGTTACATAATGCTGGAAAATTCAGATATAAAAATGAGTAATGGAAATAATGATAAGCACTGTCAAACACTACTCAGGTTCAACAAAAGCTTAGATTGGGGAACCAGGAGTTAAAACGGTAACAATAATAATACCAACAATTACTATTATTATTATAATTATAATAGTAACAATAAACCTTAAAGATCAATACAAGAAACTCGCTTTAACAAAGAATTCTAAAAAAATATTTTATACAACACATCAACTAACTTGATCGTTAGCCCACTCTAACATAACATCATGAAGACACTTCATTGCATTCATTGTCAATATCCAACGTGAAGATCGAGGATCTTCAACACCATCAACAAAACATTTAAATAGTTGGTTGATCACTGAAGCCTTCTTAGTTCGGGGCTGAGAATTAAGTGAACGACCATGAGACGAAAATAAGCTTCTGAATACGTTAGATGTTTCATTACCTTTTTCAGTTTTGCTTTTTGAATAGGGACTACGATTCATTGATGCATCAAGTTCAGGTTGACCGCGGGCCAACGATACAACGCATTCGAAGTAAAACTCATGAATTAAATTCAACTGAACTTGTACAAATCTAGCTTGTGACACTTTATCAGACAGCTGTCGACCTCTGGAACTAATAGCGTGAAGAATCGCAATGAAATAATCAACGCACTGAGGTCTAAAAAGAGGAATGACAACAGAATACTTTTCATATTCTGTATAAGTAAGTGAGGTTAAATACACGCATAATCATATCATAGATAACATGTAAACATTTTCAAAATATCACTGAAGCTCACATCATCAGAATCCAACGGAAAGGAAAAGGATAGAAGTAGTTTTTATTCAATAATTTTTATCGCACAATCCTGTTTAACTCCCTTCACTAAAAAGACAAGTTACTCAAATTTTCCAAGATAATGGACAACAAATTGTGCTCAAAACGTAATCCAGTTAATAATGTGACACCATGTGTTTTACCAAATAAACTTTTATATAGCATTACTCTCACCAACTTGTTACTAACCGTTCTGTGGGTGTGTAGTTCAGATCGAATCAATACATATAGCGGATACATTCGCTTTCTGTCCTAAAAATTCCGATCGGTAGTGAGATATTTGGTATTAACTGCGCTATAAGTTTAATTTTCAAGTGTTCATTTAGAGGGATTTGACTGATTTCAAGTTTGATTTTACTCTAATTGACTTCGGATATAAATATACTCACTGAGAAAGCCAGAGAGTACTGGACAAATGTGTTTAACACTAGTAGTATCGGTCTATTGAGCCAACTTTGAAATCAATCAAATCCCTACAAACCAAAAGCTGAGAATTAATCTGATACTCAGTAGTAACTGACTACAGGATGGAGTGTTTCTTGTTGTAACCAGGGGGGTTAGTAAGGGACAGAATTTGTGCCAACAAATCCAGCCAGGAGGATATAACAAACAAGGAATTAAGCAGTACTAGTACATCTCAGCAATACAGATAGACGAAATAAGCTGAGGGACTCGAAGTAACAGAAAGACGAGTAATACGGGAGTGCTTTTGATTTAGTTGTGTTCTCTGAGCTTGTTGATTTAGTTGCTGAAGATATTGTTTAAAAAAACAACGAAAGCTTTGAAATTAAATCATACAGCTCAGAGAACACAACTAAATCAAAATCACCAGCTACAATCATAATAATAATTTGCTTTATTCGAAAACAGTACTTGTGATACAGAATGGAATTCTCAACATTTCACTACAGTATTGCATACAGTTTGTACATTAACAATAAATAAATTGGACATAGATTAAGGTAATCTCAATCAGTTTTGACATCAATATATTGGCATGTCGGTAGCAGAGCCAAAAGTGAACAGAACGTTTGAAGGTGTTAGAAAACTAGATACTAACATATTTACTGGCGTAAGTGGTAACATAATTGTCGAGATATACAAAGTGTGAAAGAACGAACAAGAATGTTTTAAGTAGAGTTTGTAAGGAAGAGAGAAACAAAACAGCACATAACAAAAAAGAGAAAAGGAAAAAAGAAGGAAAACCGTTGTACCCATATATGATATGAGTTGGAAAGACGATATCCAGTTGTTCTACTGACTATTTAATAAGTTAAAGGTTTCACGCCTAATGCTTTCTTTATCGCACAGAACACGAGCTAGGTAGGGTATGGATGAGTTTTTGTACTTACTAGTGCGGGCATATAGTTTCCTATATAGGCTTCTGGTTTTCCCTGAAGAGATACATGGGAGAGTTGTGCATGTAGAGGGTGTTGTGAGTCAGATAAAATGGATTTCGCCCATTTTTCACATGAGTCCATGTGCCTGTCCACCAGAATACTAACAAGCTGGCTAAGTGGCAAACTGCTTACCCTGCTGACAACCTTTAACATCCTACGTAATAAGGTATAGTCTTTCTTCAATAGCCCAGGAAAGACTAAGGGGGAACAATAGAGAATAATACGCAGAATACGGGAATTAACAAATTGTAGGAGTAAGGCTTGGGTTACACCAGAATGTCCTAACTTCTTGATGTAGAAGGTAAGACGGAATATTTTCTTAGAAATCGTCAAGATATGAGACGACCAGGAAAGATCAGAAGATAGAGTGACACCTAGGTATTTAATTTCCAACTTGGTTTCAATTTCAGTGCCATCTATGTTGCACACCTCGTGAGTGTTAACCAGTTTGTTCAGGTCAGATTTCTGCCTAAGGTTGAAATTGACTGTTTGGCATTTAGAGGGATTAAAGGTGAGACTGTTTTCCTTGGACCACTGGCTGATTTCTGATAAAAAGCCACTTAGTTTGGAGCAGTTACTTTGACACTTGACAGGCAAAGATTCAGTCAGATCGTCAGCATATTTAACAAAATTAATGTCATTTGAAGATGGTAGGTGATGTAGAAAGAAAGAAAAGAGAAGTGGGGAGAGTACAGCACCTTGGGGAAACCAGCTTCAGTGGGCACAGTAGTAGTAGTAATAGCTGTAGTAAAGTGCTCGACTAAAAATGATTAAAGTAGTGAACTTATCTAGGTAAGTACATTACTTTAGTGAAATGCCATAGTTCCCTTATGCAGGTGTGTAATAATACATTGATGATATAAATCGGCAATCCAGTAAAATTTCAAGTAGGTCACCGAGCAACATGTTTTGACAAATTATAAACACTAAAACACACTAATTGCATTGTAACTAGTTGTTTTTAAGGTGACAATATAAAATTAATATATTCTAACAACACATTTTATAATGTGTACTTACCGCCCTTCACTTTCATCAACAACAAACCAAGATGATGAACTTCTCAGGGCAATTTTTAGTCTATCAGAAGCCAAATGCTGTTCTAACAAAAGCCAACGTGAAAAAACTTTTGGATGCGAAAGTACATCGCTTGGTCTAGGATAATCAGACGGATACATCATTTTAGATAACTTTGAATCTGTCTGTAATACAACGTCAATTAAGTGGCTAAAATGCTGTGCATTATTCAATAGTTCATCGTCTGAATTACTATGAAAACTAGGATAGCAAACTTCAAATGGTATATTACAGTCAGAATAATTGTTTGAACTAAATTTATGATTGAATCGTAGTGGCATAGAAGTAGAAAGACCGAGGTCGTAGTTTAACTTGTCTAGCAGCAAAGTAACCAAACCGCGCATTAGTTCCAGCTAAATGAATAGACACAAAAAAGGAAATAAATGCTTACTTGGAAAAATTATGTAGGATGCCTCTAATAAAACTTGAATTCCAATTACAGAGAAATAGCGATATTTCATGTCACTGTCATACCAGTGGAACTAACTACAGTTCAGATTTCACCTACTGAACAAAGGTTAAGCTTATATATTCAGATTGGAAACAATTATGTAGGTAAGCTAGAAACAGTACTGAAAACGTTAGCATACTATAGCACTTACTTCTATCTGCGCGCCTTTCATCACTTGTTGACTGCGGTCACTTAGAACAAACAGTATACACTTACATTCCATGATGACCTTCTGAATCATGTTAGGTGTAATTTCATGGCACATGTTAATTGGATAACAGGCTGAAAGTACTTGTCATTATAAAGTACGAAACTTACTTTATAGTGGGAATTAGTACTGCTGGAGGATGAAAGTGCAACAGCAGTAGTGTTTGACTAAGATCAGCAAGCTAGAAGTGTTGCATTTCCATATTGAGCAAAAGGGGTTTAAATTGGTTGACACCAAAAATTCTACACTCTGATTAACAGTACTATGATTTTTAACCATCACGATGGATGAAACTCTACAAAATCTACTACCGGACAGGCTATGTGTGAATGCCCTTAAGCAGCCATACACTGGTAACGCAACAACTACTGAGTGTTCTTTTTCTTCAAACAGGAGTGGAAAACACCAAACACCATCATAAACACACAAAGTCTTTTTGTCCATCGCGCATTTTCTTCATCTTTTGCATTTCATCTTACTATCTTTACTTTTCATATTCTATATTTTCTCTTAACTATGACCACGGCTAAAAAAATGAGCCACAGGAAAATGATTCCTGGTTAAACAGAACCACGCTGACAACTTAAAATTGGAGTTTCCAATCTCCAAACCATATACCTAACCAGATGATAAACTCTACTAGCCAAACCCTAGAATTTCCGACTTCAGAACAAACAGAACAAGGCTAACATGGAGAGTATGCACATTTCCTCCTAATGGTATCAGCAGAATCTGGCTAGTTGTCTTTTGCTTCTTTGTGTAGCATAGGAATTAACATCGTGAAAGTTAATATTCACACAGATCACAGGGAACCGTTTTCCATGTACAATCCGACTGGAAGTTTTAATAAAAACGAAGAAAGATCATGGTAATCGCAAATGCTCTCTATTAATCTACAACTACGAAATCACTGACTGAAGCTCACAAGAAGAAAGGATGAGTCTTATTAGAAGTTGTCTGATTTCCAGATAATATCAAAGCAATAAGAAGTAATCTTAGAGGCAAGTGGTTTAATTACTTATACAGGAAAGCTTAACCGGTCCCACTTGTTTGATTTAATATAAATATTTATACTATACTGGAGGCGTGAAGAACAAACCAAATGCAGTGAAGGCTTTTTACAACTTTTTTCAGATAACCATCTTTACCTACCCAGAGCTACCTTCAAACAGAAAACGACACTTTGTCACACTAGGTGACCACAAAAAAGGACAATTAGTCACATATGTACTAATGGATGTGACTCTAGTCGGCTTTTTGCAAGTCTCACTGATCTAGAGTATGCATATGACATTTTCGCCTTAAATATAGACACTGACAAAATAAAGTCTTCTGAAGACCTCAGGCGATAATATGTTTAAAATACCATTCACTCCTACTGATAATAAAATGATGCTGCGAGACTGGTCTACACAGACTCTTTGTTTAAGAAGTAAAATAGTTAAATGTGTTGATCACTTAACCTACTTCTAAAAAGATGTTAACCTTAATAGCCGATTGCTGGTGAAATTTCAGCACAGATACAAAAGGTCATCTCGATATCAGTCAAATGTGTCATCTTTGGCGTTCCCAGGATATTCATCTATAGATCATACGACGTGCCTATTGAACAGCAGTTCAATTTACTGCCAGACACGGCCAATAAATGTGAAAGATAGGACAGACGAGCGGTCTTCAACAGCTGGTACCTCTATTCAATCTCTTGCTCTAGAGAGGGAGGTAGGAATGAGGTTAAGCAAAAAGTTTTAGGCAATAACAATTAACTGGGTTTCACAACTCCATGGATTGCGACGGACAAGACATGTGTTATACAAGGCATACCTCCAACTATCTTCACTAAAAATGTTAAATATCACGGAATCAGGTTGGGAAAAGCTAACAACTGGTCGGACCAAAATATGGCACCAACCAACGAAGTCTTTAATCAATGGCTTCAGCCACGTAGGAAAGTGTGAGTTGCTACTTAGGTTTCTCGAAATACTATGCAACAGCGATTTCAGTCGTAGTGATAACAATTAAAATTATTCACAATGGCGCAAATATGTTCGCATCTTAGGGAAGCATCACTAATTTCCATCTAGTTGTTCATAAACCACACTTTTTTACTCATTTAACTTTCAATAAATTTCTTTTCTTTACTTTTAAGTGTACTTCTTCAAAATGTGACAATTTGCACTGATCAAACTTAATGCAGAATAAATCAGAGGTGTGATGTTAGCTAACTCAGTCATAGAAACTTCTGTTGGAACAAAATTCTACTTAAGAAATCTCACTATTCTACTGCGTTCCGAATGGTACATACGGCTTCAAAAACACATCTCCACTCTCTTCTATTTTCTGCTGTCCTATTCAGCTGGTCCCACGATTCCCCACAATCTCTCCTCTCCTCTTCGAGTTTGTTTGACATTAGACATAAGTCATCCTGACCCTATATCAGCCAGCTAACATTGTCTAGCGAGAAAGGCGATGCTCAGGAATACATAACACATGTCCTAACCATCTCAATCGGTGTAACTTCACAATCTACTCGTTTGATTTCCCCTCCTTACCTAGCACTCGACTGATGCTTACCTCGATATTACTCACCCTATTATATCATCTAACACAGGAGATACAAGTCAAACACCCATTATCAAAGACAGCTATCCTTTTCGTATCTCCAACTTTCAGTGGCCATGTCTCAGCGCGAACTGCTGAGCAGTACACACGTCCGTTGGTCGACAGCCAGTCGGATATCGCATCTATGCCAGAGACGGCGTAAACTGTCATATGGGAAACCAGCCTTCTGTATCCGTGCTGAGATTTCGTCAGCGATCAGCCCGTTAGCGATATCTGATGCAACTTCTCAAGTAAGTGAAGTGGTCAACACTCTCCAACAACCGCTGCACTCCCCATCTTTAAGCTAGGAGTCAGTGTAGTCCAGTCCTATAACATCATCTTAAATTTGGTGGGAGCGAATTCCACGCCAAACATTCGCGGATTGCAGCTCAAAGTGTTCAGAAGACAATGCAGTTTGTCTTCACCTAGAAGGACTATATCATTTGCATATTCTAAGTCAACGAGATTATTCCCTCGTAACAAATCAATTCCTTCCTGAGTCGCTGAAATCAGCTAGGGTTGAGTCCACTAGTAGTACATCTTTGATGAAATTGAATAGACATGGGGACAGTAGACATCCTTGACGGACACCACTAGTCGTCAGCACTTCAGATGACTACTCGCCGTAAGCTCTCACTTGGCTGTCGGCATGGGTTCGAGTACAGTGAGTGGCTTGATCAGCGCAAAGTATTTTCTAGGAATTTCCCTTACAGCCAAGCATCGCCAGAGTACTTCTAGATCGACAGAGTCGAATTCCGCCTTCAGGTCTTGAAATATAACGATTGTTGAACGCCGGTAAGTATGCCACCAGTGTCTCCCTTCTTATGTAAGCGAATAATCAGTGACTTACGCCAACCTGACGGGACTTCCTCTGATTCTCAGACGCTTCCTAGTATCTCAGTTAACCCCGACCGAAAGCTGCTACCTTGACGTGGTGGTCGGGCTTGAACACCGCAATGATCTATTCAAGCTATACTGGCTGAGACTTATGTCTCTTGAGGTCCTACCATGCCAGGCAGGTTGTTTGGATAGCGGTTAAACAAAAAGCAGCTACCCAATCCAACATCATGTCCAATACAAAATCACAAAATTTCATGCCGGATCGGCCGTGGCCCGGATTAACAACGACCGCGCTTCCTGCTGCCGTGTCACAGGGCAGGAGTGATAAATCTGCTACTGAGACACACCAAACAATAAAGAACAAACAAAAACAGGCCGCGTGTGACCGGCCTCAAGCAGTTGTCCCCTGGGCTCTGCGGTCACGCAACCAACTTCCACGGTGTGGGCAGCCGGGAAGTAACAATCGCCCTCACAATCCGAAATGCACACGAAACCTCTCTATTACTCACTCATCTTTGTCTTCATCTTCATCTCTATCATCTTGCCTTCCTTCCACTGATGCAACTCCTCGACTTGATAGCTCTCCACTTCCTCTCCACTCTGCGTCCACTAAAAACGATGGAAGCCAAAAAACCACCACCGACAGCCTCTTAAAGCCGCGCCACCAATTTCATATAGGAGCTCTTAATGTTAGGACACTTTGCCAAATAGGACAACAAGCATCACTAGCCAAGACCCTGGCATCACGAGCCATTGATGTATGCTGTGTTTCAGAAACACGCATACAAGACCCAAGTGTGGTTATTCACCTAACCCCACCTGGCCAACAGGTTGAATCTGCAAAATTCACCTTGAGGGTGTCAGGAGATGCCACAGCTAGTTCACGAGGATTAGCTGGCGTAGGGATAGCTTTGAGTACTAGGGCAGAAAAGACATTGCTTGACTGGATCCCGGTAGATAGCCGAATGTGTGCTGTCCGCCTGAACGGATCAGTAAGAAGGAGGAAGGACTGCACTACTCGCCGATGCCTTTTCGTAATCTCCGCCTACGCCCCCACTGACTGCAGTTCAGATGAAACGAAGGATGAGTTCTACCAAAAGCTGTCTAGTTTGGTGGAAAGGCTAAACGCTCAGACATAGTCGTTCTAGCTGGTGACTTTAACGCTCAAGTAGGGAAATTGTGTCAATCTGAGAAGGATGTCGGTGGCACCTATGGAGCTCCGTGCCAGCGAACCGACAACGGTGACCGTCTCCTACAGTTCTGCTCTGATAATCATTTGTTTCTTGTAAGCACTAACTTCAAACACAAGGAGAGACACTGTTTGACTTGGAGACCCCCTTCATCAAACCAACGCTGGACACAAATAGACCACATAGCAATAAGCTATCGTTGGCGTGGGTCGGTAGGAGATTGTCGCTCCTTCTGGAACACGTGCGTAGATACCGACCATGCACTGGTCCGCGCTCGGGTGTGCTTACGACTGAACGGACGTAGGAAACAGCTGGCGGTAAAACCATCACGTCCCCAGCTCGATCAGGAAACTAAATCCGTATTTGAGGAAGAACTAGCTAAACACATATCTGTGTTCGACAGCTGTGCTCACCCTGAAGAAGCTTGGAAAAATATCCAGGCAGCCATAGATACAGCTGTAAAAGCTGTGAATAAGGTAAACCCAAAGGTGAGTAAAAACCACTGGATCTCCACCGCCTCATCCGAACTGATAGATGCTAGAAGACTTATTCCGGCGAGCTCCGAATTCAATGAGGAGCGAAAGCTGCACAAGAGGAAACTTACGAAAAGTCTCCGCAAGGACCGTGAACAGTGGTGGGCGACAAAAGCCAAAGAGATGGAGAAAGCTTCGAGGATAGGCAACACCAGGCAACTCTTTGGACTCATCAGGGAAACGGGTGGGAGAAGACAAATCATCAGTGAGACAATCTCGGAAAAAAATGGCACTATAATTAGCTCCCAGGATAGACGACTGGATCGTTGGAAAGAGCATTATGAGGAGCAGTTTAATTTGCCCACAGCCACGCTCAACCTTCCGAGCATCCAACACCTCCCTGAATGGGATATAGACACAGGTCCTCCGTCACTAACTGAGGTTACTAAAGCTGTCACCAATCTGAAACTAGGCAAAGCAGCGGGACCTGATGGAATGACTCCAGAGGTATTTAAGTACGGTGGAGACAGCTTACTGTCCGGATTAACTGAGGTACTAGGCAGCGTCTGGGAATCAGAAGAAGTCCCATCGGGTTGGTGTAAGTCACTGATTATCCCCATATACAAGAAGGGAGACAAGTCTTCCTGTGATAATCACAGAGGGATTAGCTTGACTAATATAGTATCTAAAGTCTTAGGCTCAATAATCATGCGTAGACTGAGTGGTGCTCGGGAAGCACAAACACGAGAGAGCCAGGCAGGCTTTAGACCAGGAAGAGGGTGTATTGATCATATCTTCACCCTCCGACAGATTCTAGAACATAGGCATTCCTACCGGCGTCCAACAGTCATTATATTTCTTGACCTAAAGGCAGCATTCGACTCTGTCGATCGGGAAGTTCTCTGGAGATGCTTGGCTGTAAAGGGAATTCCGAGAAAATATATTGCACTGATTAAGGCACTCTACTCGTACTCATACAGCCAGGTGAGGGCTTACGGCGAGCTGTCATCTGAACTGATGACGACCAGTGGTGTCCGTCAAGGATGCCCATTATCTCCTTTTCTATTCAACTTCATCATAGATGTGTTAATGGACTTAACCCTAGGTGACTTCAGCGACTCAGGGATTGACTTGCTACCAGGGAATAATCTCGTTGACTTGGAATATGCAGACGATATAGTCCTTCTAGGCGAAGACGCTGACGAAATGCAGAGTCTTCTAAACACCTTGAGCCGCAATCTACGAATGTTTGGCATGCGATTCGCTCCCGCCAAATGCAAGATGATGTTACAGGACTGGACTACATCGACGCCTAGTTTAAAAATAGGAAGTGAAGTGGTAGAGCACGTTGACCGCTTCACTTATTTGGGAAGTACCATCAGCCAGT